GTGTGTGTGTGTGTGTGAGAGAGAGAGAGAGAGAGAGAGAGAGAGAGAGCAGGTAAGTCTCCAACGTCGCAGCTAGCCTCACGGTACTTCCATCGATAGGATGAGCAAAATCGAATGAATCTGGCGTTATAGCGTGGGAATATCTCAAGCCATACTTGTTTTTTTTTTTTTTTTGTGTGTGTGTGTGTGAGAGAGAAAGAGAGAGAGGGTTTATCCTCAGGATGATGATGAGAGGGAGGAGGAGGAGGAGGAGGAGGAGAAGGTGAAGAGACTGATGAAGAGAGAGAGGAAGGTTGATGTGCGTATCTATCATGTCCACTCTCCACGTGGCACTGCTCAGAACTGTGGATGAACTGGAGATAAGCGGCTAAAGGAGGAGGAGGAGGAGGAGGAAGATGGGAAGGAGAGACGAGGAGGAGGAGGAGGAGGAGGAGGAGGAGGAGGAGGATCATGTAAGAGGAGTCGTTTGCGATCATTGATTCAGCGACGTGTGCTGTCGCGTCATCTTGTTGATGTGGCAGCAAGATGATGCGACAGCACATGTCGCTGAATCAATAAGAGGAGTCGTTTGCGATCATTGATTCAGCGACGTGTGCTGTCGCATCATCTTGCTGCCACATCAGCAAGATGATGCGACAGCACACGTCGCTGAATCAATGATCGCAAACGACTCCTCTTACATGATCTTTCTCCTCCTCCTCCTCCTCTCCTCCTCCTCCTCCTCCTCCTCCCCCCCCTTCTCGTCGTCCTCCTTCCCATCTTCCTCCACCTCCTTCTTCCAACAAGATGGATGCCAATGCATCTGCGCAAGCCATAATTCCACGTGGACCAGGTGATTGGACAGCGTGGACATAATCAAAGAAGTGCTCGGAACTGCCAAGCGCTGACGTGGCAGCATATGCAGCGTCCACGTCAGCACCTCTCTTTGTCGATAGATTCAATTATTGATGGCACCGCGAACGACCGACTGAAGACAAAACGAAGAAAAATAGAAGAAACAAAACGCAGATGAAAATGGGAAAAAAGAAGGACAAATAGTCAGGAATGGGAAAATCGTACTCACCTTACAAGACACTGGAGGTCATGTCCCGCCGAAGCCAACAACGGCAAAGCCCGAATTGGCGCACAACTACGTCGATTCCGACGAAACGAATGTCGATTGCCGACATGTTGTCGCTCCGACAGACCAAAAAGTCGACGCCTGTTTTGCTACGCGGGAATGGTCGCTTCCTCTCTCTCTCTCTCTCTCTCTCTCTCTCTCTCTCTCTCTCTCTCTCTCTTTTTCTCTCTCTCTCTCACACACACACACACACACACAAACATGGCCTGGAAGTCAACACGGGCCAAGTACTCCCGGGGGCTCCGACAACGATCCGACCGCACGGAGGAGACGTCGCCGTCGAGGACATTAGCAGCCAGCGATGGAGGCCATGCAGGGGGCACGTGCGGTGGCGAGGACGATGTTGGGAAACCGTAGGCGGTACGGACGCAGACCGTTTCCGTACGGGTTTTTTTTTTTTTCCCTCCAATAAAGTTTGTGCTTTTCCCGCCTGCGACATGCGTACGGACGCGAGGCCGGTAGGTCCAACGGACAGACCAAAAAACGGCCATTGTTGAATCAGTACAAGCCCACGGTGGGCCCACCAACACACACAGCCCAACCCATCCCGAAGCTGCCCCGAAGCCCGACAAATGCGTAGTACTGGTGGTTTAATAGTTATATATTAATATTAACTTATATATATATATATAGATATTTGACGATATATATATAGCTATATATATAAACAAGTGAACACGCCACGGCCGAGCGCCAGCCCCACCGCAGGCACGACCATTATCTGGCCCGGCCGAGATCGAGGGTGTTTGTTTTCGAACATGAAGGACGCGCAGCATTCGGGGGGGGGACGTCGGCCCAGGCATTAGCATGTCGTTGGATCCTTTGTAAATCAGAACTAACTATTTGCGGGGGCATCAGCCAAGGGATCAGCAGCCCACCTTTCCGGGAGGCGCACCGTGTTGGCCCACCCCGCCCGCGTTAGCCTGCTCGGCCGCTCCCCACACGGGCCGTGGGCCCATTTCGTACTGTCCCAACACTGTGAACGGGGGCTTGCGTGGGATGCTCATGCGAGACCCTCTGTTTCCATTAGAGTATTAGAGGAGGAACTCACCGACAAAAAATGGCAGACGAACTTCCCAATCGGACGAATCCGGTTGCGAGATATTCGTGGTGATCCACGGACCTCGACCGACACCCGCGCGGCTGCCCTCTCCACATTCGCTCCCGGTATGTAACAGTTCGTTAAAATGCGGCCGTGGCCGCTCCCTGCCCGCCGATCTGTTTCATCCAAGTGCTGTTTCACATTTTCGACCACTTAGTCCGGCTCGCAGCTAGCCATGATCCTCCCCCTGTGGCCTGGCTGCACTACTTGCCATCCGCCAAGTTTGGCCAGTAGGTGCTTGGTTGCACTCACTCGCCAATCTTGGCGAATGAGAATTGTGTCAGACGGCTCGCCACACCGTCGACACAAGTTGTGGCGAGTGTTTTGGGTTTCCCCGCCTGTCAACAGAGGTTTGTGGAGGGTGGTCCTTCGGACCTCTCCACAAAACAACTTCTTAGCGAGCGCACGCCTCCACGAGTGGAGATCAGGCAGACATTTTGTTTAGAAGAAATATGGCGGCGAGTAAGTGCAACCAGGCCTCCAGTTCGACACGATTCTCATTTTTTTTACTCTCCACCCATCTGCCACGAATTGTGACGGACGGCGAGTAGTGCAACTAGGCCCTAAGGGGTAGGAGGAGGAGGATTGAAAAGGCCTAAAAGGCTGTCCTGTCCAGATTTGACAAGTACTTCACTTGGTTGGGATAGGGAAAAAAAAAAAAAAAAAAGTGATTATCATAACTACGATCAGGTTCATTCTGGAAAGTGCTACAATCTACATCGACATTGACAGGGTGTTTTATTCAGGTGGGTAGCTTGAAAATGCCCTAAAATTCTCCTTTATTTTTTTTTACCCTTCACTTGTGCCCTGCCGTCCGGGCCTTCATCTTCTGCGTCCATGCATGTGGAAACATATGTACGAGACAGTACGACATAAACCAGCATGACATCTTGAAGTCCATTTGCCCCTTTTCCATGGGGCCATCGGCTTCCTCCACCATTGCACAATCGGGTCTTCCCCGAAGCCCGAACGGGCGTAGTGGCTCCCGTCCAAGTCCATTCAAGAGGGAACATCATGGCTCTATTTTTTTCCGCGGCCGATGGGGTGTACCAACTACTGGTGGTTTTAACAGATAGTTCATCTGAAGCCGATAAACTGGTCTTCAGGGGGAATACAAAACATCTCATTTCGGGCGTCCGAGAGGTGGTTACTCTCTCCCTCTCTCCATTTTTCTCCCCCTCACTCCCTCTCTCCATTTCTCTCCTGCTCACTCCCTCTCTCCATTTCTTTCGCTCTCCCTTCCTCTCTCTCTCTCTTGATGAAGATGGATGAACCGTTGAAAAGGTGGTTAGGCTCCCCTCCTTAACACGAGGTCAAAACAACACAGAGTGTAACCACCTTTTCAACATCTCTCTATCTCTCTCTCTCTCTCTCTGTGTATATATATATATATATATATATATATATATATATATATATATATATATATATATATATATATATATATATATATATTTTTTTTTTTTTTTTTTTNATATATATATATATATATATATATATATATATATATATATATATATATATATATATATATATATATATATATTTTTTTTTTTTTTTTTTTTTTTTCCTTTCTTTTTTTTTAAAGAGGGATCAAGCGCCAAAAAGGTTGTTGGCTTCCCTCCTTGAGGAGAGGTCGAAACAACACGGAGCATAACCACCTTTCCAACGTCTCTCTCTCTCTCTCTCTCTCTCTCTCTCTCTCTCTCTCTCTCTCTCTCTCTCTCTCTCTCTCTCACTCATATCTTAAAAAATCCTTATATCAATAATACAAAAAGTCTCCAACAATGTTGTAGTTAGCTCTGCCAATCTTACAAGTGACGTGAGCAACGTTTATGTCACGATAGCAACGTTGGAAATTGGTTGCTTGCACAATGCAACGTTGTTTTTAGCACGAATGCTTCTTTGAATGTTGCTCCAACGACGTCAACGTTGCTCGAACCTAAAAATCAACACAGGTTTTTTTCTGTTGCAGTAGGTGTACGCAGTAACTCAGCGGGCCCATAATGCCACAGTGACAACAACAATAAGCCACAGCTTAAAACGTAGCCCCGAGGGAGAACACAACCCTTTCTCATGCTACTGCAAACTGCAGGATGGCCCGGCTAGCCATGCAGTAAGCAGCACGTACACCTTCGATAGCGCAGTCTTCACATAAGCTGTCGCGAATAGGCACTCCCCTTTTCTGGTCAGCGACACAGGCAGCGCGCCAGTTAGTTGATAAGCCTGCATTCCACGCCCTGCCCCTTCGCTACCCCGATTCCCAACAAGTTTGCGAAGAAAGAAAATAAGGTGTATCTTCCACTGGAAACCGGGTAGATACATCGATTATTGTTTCACCTCCCACGCATTCGCTGCCCCTGACGCCACGGAATCCATTGCTCCAATCCGGAATCCGCCTCCACCCATGAACTCGCCCCATCTCAAAGCTCCGATTTACTCCTCTATCCTACCCGATTTCGCCGTCAGCCGAGTGGAAACTTCTCTTACCAGTCCCGCCATATCTATAACTCCGCGCGGCCCCTTACTAACAAAACTCTAGAACTAACCACTAACCTCTGATTCTAACCCTCCCATCCAACTCGTAGGGTATCAAAACTTCTAGAATGACCCCCCCACGTATGTGCCTGCTCTAGGACGCGGTAACACAATCACTTCACCGTCTTCTCCTCCATAGCTCGGCGCAGGTCACTCCCTTCGTAGCTCCTAACACACTAACCTACCACTAAATTTGACCCCGCCGTCGAATTCGCCCTATGCAAAAACTTCAAACTCGACTTTCTCCCCGCCCGTTTTCATCAAGGACTGGTCATGATCTTCTGTCTTTACACTCGGCCATAGCTAGTTTCACGAAGCCCCCACACACCAACTTCCTCTCCAACCTCTTATTCTACTCCCTCTCTCCCAAATCCGACCGCAGAATCGGCGTCGCGAGCACCAAAAACCCCGATCTAGCACTTTTCCCCGCCCGATTCTATCAAGAATCGAGCGAGGTAAGTGCTTTTCCCCTCCGCCATGTCCATTTTCTGCCCCTTTAATGTTGAATGCACTTGGCGCCGCCCGCGTCCAGGTTCATTTCCTTCTCTTCATCATCCCCCGTCGTTCTCCGCCAGGCACGATCCTCTCTTATTCCCTGTCCGTTCGCCTTGGCTTTCCCCGCGGCCTGCCTACTCCGTTGTCTGGCCAACCCTGTTGTCAACAGCGACTGACTGGGCAGCGCCCGACCTCTTTGAAGACTGCGCAGCGGTTCCAAAGCGGGTGACAGCCTTAGCGCGGCTCAAACCCCGACCGACAACTAGGTGGCCCGCTCCCATACCCCAGCCCGACAACCGGTTTTGCACATCCATGTGTTGCCGGCCTCCGCCTCGCCGGCCCTGCCGTAGCACCCCGCCTCCTGATTACGGTCGGGAGGCATTTTTCCCATGGGCAAACTTAACACCCGCTGCCCATACTCAGACAGCTGGCCGCGCCGCTAAGGCCACAGCCCGCTATAGGCCTATGCATGGGCCTTGGTGAACTAGGCCCAGTACAACCCCCGGCGGCAGTCGCAAAAAAAATCAAACGAGCACTTTGAAGACCGAAGTGGGGGCGAGGTCCTAAGTGGCCAATCCGCCCGGGCAGGGCGGCTTCCGCCCCGACGCCCTCTGTCCCGCTGTGCCAAGCACAGTCCCCGTTCATTTAGGCCTCAACGGGCATGCTCACCCTCAAACCTCTCACGGAAAACCCCGGGCGGCGGGCGGTGCCCCTGCAGAGCGCCCCCACCAACCAAATCTCTTCCACCCCATGGGTTGATCACCCACTGGTTTACATACACGTTAAATCCCCTTGGTCCGTAATTTAAAAAGGGCCGGATAGAGGAATTTCGCTAGCATCCTAGATACGCAGGAACCTGCCGGTCCCATCGAAA